CAGCCCCCCCCCGCCTCGCTTTCTCCTCTGTGGGGCCGCCCCCTCGGGGTACTCCACGCCCACCGGCGGGGGGTGCCGGCGAGGGCTGCCGGCCGACCCGAGTGGCTTCGGGCACATCTGCTTCAGAAAACCAGCCCTCGCGTGGTCCTGGAGCGCGGCCTCGCAGGCCCGGGCGGCCGCTGGGGACCTTTGCCCAGGCTCCCCACAGGGATCCTAGGGGGCTGCGCCCGTTGGCCGTGAATGTCTGCAGCCCCGTGTTCCGTGCTACCCTTCCATGTCACCCTTCTAGAGCAAAGCGCTGGCGATGCCAGGTGGTGGACACCTCAGTGCTGGTGCTGTAGTGCTAGGGGGTGGAAAACCAGGGAGCTCTACTGTGGTGGTGACTGAGGTTTGGTGCCTCCTGGGGCATTCATGAGGAGGCTCCCAGTGCTGTGTTACGGTAAGCAGGCACAGGCGGGTGAGCAGCCTGGGTGCAGGGGGGTGCACAGCTTCTGTCCTGTTCCAGCTACCCCAGAGGGCTGGCGTCCCCTGCAGAGGTGCCCAGGGAAGGCCTGGACCTAGTCCCTCACTGCGTGCAGCCCTTTGCTCGCCAGCTTGGGCCCGTTCCAGCTCCAATGTTTAGGCAGGCCCTCCATTTTCATATGCACTTTTAAATTCATTTCAAGTCACTGTTGCTTCATTTTTGGTGCCTAGCGGGTGTTCCCAAGAACCATAGCTATGGTAGGAAAAAGACTACCAAAAGTGCTTTTAGAAGGTGGTCCTGCTTTTCTGTATTTTCTCACACAGTGTAATTAATGCTAGTCCTTCCTCTTTCACTAGCAATGTAGTTTGCATAAATGCAGAGTTAGTTATTTAACTTTTTTTTAACCACCCTGTCCACATCAGAGATGAAATTGCTAGTTTAATTTTTTTAAAATTAAAAAAGTTTCTTGTTATGGGAGATGCTCTCTTCTTTAGAATATATTTATTTTGTGGTATTTACTCTGCAACTCTCTAACCTTATTTGCCTCATGGAGAACCTTATTAGAAATTTCAGATGCTAGTGGAAAATGCTATATGAATAACAGTTCTTTGGGTTTCCCTCCCCCCCTCCCCCCCCTTTGATTCCAGCACTTCCATCTGTCTGGTCTCCCTGCTACTTTCTTCCCTTGTGTGGTTTGTTGCTGTGCAAATTGGTGGTAGCCATTAAGCATCAGTATGGAAAATGTGCTCATCTTTGGAGTAGTGTTTTCTGTTCCACCCCAGGAGTTACCTACGACAGACTTTTGAAGTAAGTCATATGGTATTTCCCATTTGTTGGGGATTCCTTAAGTAAGTGCAGAATCATATTGGACAAGTAGATAACAGTATTCAATATCAAGGAGTTCTCTTGTGGCAACATACTTTCTTAAGAGTTAGGTTTAATAATAAAAAATAAAATTATTGCAGCCTTAAAGCAAATAATAAAACTTAAGAACTTTATTTTTTAAATGTCAGTCTATGATGCAAATTTGGGATCAAACACAGCTAATGGGGTTAACCCTATTAATTAACCCTTGAACTTTCTTCCATATTAAGGGCCACCCCTTGGGAAAAAAGATAATTTAAACCAAAGTAGTTTATATTCCATTTATCACAGCTTCTCATTAAAAGTTAGTATTAGTTAGAGCAAACTCCCCTTCAACTATATATTTGGAAGTTTTCATGAGTTATTGTTGTTACTGCCTGCGAGTTTTCTTCAACTTATGATACTGTAGCTCTTTTTGTAAAGATCAAAGTTATTGAATTATAATAAGCTTTCCAAACTGCATTTTGCTTAAGGATGTAGAATGAAATACTTAATTTGACCTTTAAAAGTGTTTTTTCCCTTTATTTCAATTCCGTCTAAATGAGAACACAAAATTAATAAAGTCAGATAAGTTTTCTGAGAAGTGGGTTGCGGTGTCATATGGTAGCCTTCGATATCATGATATGTTGTCTTGTGACTGCTATATAAAATGTCAGATGAGTGACTATGGTTGAGTGCAAAAGCAACAGCTTGCTTCCCTGACCTGGAACTACATGCATAGCATTTTGTGATACTTACCTTATCCTGTAATTTCCATTTTATGACAGAAATGTAATCTTTAATAACTCAAACAGTAAATGTCCTTTATGGGTAGCTTCTTATAATTCAGGTAATATGTGCAAAACGATAATGAGGTTGGTTTTGCCAGTTATCTTTCAAGAGATTGATTTCCGATGTTAAACCAAGAGAAAAGGATAACTGTTTTTATTTTTATTTTCAGTTTCCAAATAACAAATGAAAACTTTGATGTGTGTTCCAAAAATCTTTCCAAAGTCTTCTTGCTTTGGAGAAGAGGTGACCAACACTGGTTTTGATTAGTGTATATATCTACATATCAATGAGTTAGATACCTGATTCCACTGGATTTTTGACAGACACATGTGCATATCTTGTGTGGAGACATGACTGTGTCTATAGCATGCAAAGAAGTTATGAAGTCAGTCAGAGTGGCCTAAGCATTTCCTGTGTGACCAAGATGAAGACTGTGTTATGATAACTATGCTAATTATTAGATTACATTAATAATCAAAGATTCAGCTGTAGAGCTGACTGAGATGGGCAACACCTCTGTACATTGACCATCTTTCCGCGTTTACCATAGTTAGAATATTTTAAGTGATACCATCTATAAATAATGCCCTGTGCTTCTGATTTGCAGTTGGGCACCAAAAACCTCCCATACCTGATAATATACTACTATGCTCGCTAGTTTCACTATTTCAAGATCTAAAGGTTCATGCTCCTTCTGTTTTTAAAGGAGATGTCAGATGCCTAACTGCCTCTTCGAAGAGTCTGTGGCAAGTCTGTCATTCTTGATCTAGAGCAGTGGTGAGCTCAGCCTCCCCTGCAGAGGTTCGCCCACATCAAAAGCGAGGTTTAGAGCTCAAGCAAGTTTTCCTGTGAAATTTTCTGCTACTTTCATTTCGAGACATGCAGGGTCCTAAAATTTAAATGTTAGTGAAGTCCCTTATCATTAGGTTTTAAGAAGTAGAAATTACATTTTTTCTGTTTAATTTTAGGGAGAAGTTTACTGTATCTTTTTTAAAATTATATAACTAATTCAGTGGGTGAACGTTAGCTTATCACAAGTTTAGTGCAACCAATTTAAAGACAAATACAGTAACAGCTAGTCCTAAAAAGTCATATTTGTTCATGTATTCTGTTTGAATTATTTGCATCAGGGTATTCATACAAAATTTTAGAATTAGAAGATACTCTAATATATCTTTTCCTGTTTTTCCTGCTTTTTATGACCAGAAGCATTTGCTGGTTTAGTCCCATGGCTGTATCTGTAAGCTGAGATTGGAAAAGTCGTCATTTCAAATGGGAGTCTGTGGACTTACACTCTGTCTCTGTAATGGTTAAAACAAGTGACAATTAATTTTTATAAATAATACCCGCACATATTTGCAAATGAAGTTTTTCTTAAAATATCACATTTTGAAAATCATACAGGTTTTTGTAAAAGTTTAAGTGAGCTCTGCAGGTGTTCTCAAGAGAATCCCGTTTTTACTGTGTGTCAGCTGAAAACCATTCTTGCAGGCAGAAGTTTCAGCTTGAACTGAAATCAGTTTTGAAAGAGGAAGGGCAGTCTGTTCAAATACATGTTTCTGTGCTCTGCTAAAGCTAAAATAGGTATCTGTGTGGTGAAGTAGTTCATAGAAATAGAGAAATAATTTGATCTGAGCCAGCTGCATACGTTGAAGTTAGTGGATAAAATTATTTGACGCAGTGTTTGTTCTAACCAGAAAGGATTTTATCCATATATTCTTGGAATGTGGTCCATACTTGTAGTAGCTTGTAGTAGCTTGGTATTTTGTGATTTCCCTGATGAGTTGGGGTTTTTTTTAATTGTTCTTGCTGAAGATCGCAGCAGTATAGAGCAATTCCAGCTCTCCTGTCTGTTCTTTTCTTAACAACTTTCAATCCTGTTACAATAAACAGTTAACCTTATTTATCTTGTTTTATTAGGTAGTACTCTTTGCTCTGCCATAGAGCTATGGATAAGTGAGAAGCCAGCAGAGCTATAGATCACTGTAATGTTCTTCACAAAGTATTTTCAGTCTCTCAGTGTCTAAAAAAAAAAGAGATTTCTCTGATGATGTAATTTCAACCTCTCCTACTTTTTAGGGTGGGACACCCTGAAAGTTTAGAGTGGTGGGCCTTGGTGGTTTTTTTTTTAGTTGCTAGAGACTTTTCTAGAAAAGCAAGAA